AGCAATATATATGAAATTATGAAACGTGATATAAATAAGTTTGACACAAGCGATTATGCGGCCAATAATGCATATGGTATACCTCTCGCGAATAAGAAAGTACCAGGCCTGATGAAGGATGAGAATAGCGGTGCGATTATGACCGAATTCATTGGACTTAGAGCGAAGATGTATGCCTTGCGCGTCGATGGTAAAAGAGATACGAAGAAGGCAAAAGGCGTCAAGAGCATCGTCATAGCGCGAACGATAACATTCGACGATTACGCGCGATGTCTGCAGGATGAAACTGAAATGACGCGAAAGCAGTCTTGCATAAGATCCAAGCTGCACGAAGTGTATACGACATCCGAAACGAAAATCACTCTAAGTCCGCACGATGATAAGCGATACATTGTACCTGATTCTATCGATCATTCTACTCTACCGTGGGGGCATTATAAGATACCTTTGTAAATAAAAAACAACTCATTTGTATATATTTATTTTGTGTGCAATTATTTTTATTATAATAAAGAAAAAAATGTTTTTTATATTGTAATAAACAGAAGTGTAATTTATTTTACAAAACATTATCCTTATGTATCCAAGAATTATGTGAATTGTCAAATCCCAACCATTTTACGTAAACTTCATCCCCTCTTTTACGCAAGAACTTTTTCAACTAGATATACATCGGGATTAGCGACGCTATGCAGCTCGTACTCGTAAAATCCTCCGGAAACCGGTTTTCCTCGATAATCTTCCAGTAGATACGTCACAGGATTAGTTTTCTGCACCTTGATGATTTTAAATATCTCCGTAGTCCAATTCGGCGTATAACCTTTCTCAAATGTTGTCTTGAATTTACTGACGCGCACCGATTCACCCACTTTGAATCGCGCGGGCGCTGCAATCTTTACATGACTGTATGCTGTATTTAAGAGCTTATCGGCATTTGTAGAAGTAACATCGATAGGCCGTATACCGATAGTTCGATGCTTTCGCGCGTTATACTCCAATACGAGACGTGGTAGCAAGTCGACC